CTTCCTTCCCTCCTTCCCTCTCTCCCTCCTCTCCCTCCTTCCCTCTGTCCTCCTCCCTTCCTCACCCGGTCTCTGGTGAGCATCTGGGCCCGGTTCTTGTGTTGGATCTTGATGACTCCAGGCGGCTGAATCCACGCCTCCCCGTCCACCTGGATGGGAACGCCCTCATCTCCCAGGATGGTGATCTTCACTGTTCGACACTGATCCAGAAACACAAACGCTTCAGTTAGATGTGCATATTCTTAAACTTATCAGTATGTTCTCCTCTGTTATTGTATCGTGTGTTCTGACCTGTGCGATGCGGTGGTGCTGCAGCTTGATGACTCGGGACACGGCCATCTGCATGCTCCCAAACACAGCCACCACCTCCAGGATCTTATCATCGAAAGAGGGGGCACAGAAGATCTGCAGGACACAATAGAATAGAATAGTTTAATATCATTATACATGTACAATGAGATAATAAATGCTTCTCCCTTTCAAGGGTGCCATCAAAACAAAAAAACATCACAACATAAGACAACAAATACACGCAGCATACATACTTAGGAATAAGGAATAAGGAATAAGGAATAAAGTGCAGTCCAGGAGTATAAAAATAAAATCTGTCATGTAATAAATAATAATAATAGTATGTATTTATAATAATAATAGTAATGATATGTATATATGTACAGAGTCACATTTATGATGATTAAGAGGTATGATTTCAGGTGTTAAGAGCAATGATGGCTCTTAGGAAAAAACTGTCTTTGAGTCAGTTTGTTTTGGATGTGATACACCTGTAGCGCCTGCCGGAGGGCAGCAGGTTGAACCGGTGAAAGCCTGTGAGCTGTTCTTGATAATGTTTTTGGCTCTTTGGTTGGAACACAACGAAGACATTAAGAAACTGATTGTACCATGATGCATCTATTCATGTTTACTGTATAAACAATCCTTAAAATCTGTCTTCAAACGCAGGCTGGTTTTCTGCTATATGATATTTAAACCCATGTAATATTTTAAAAACCGTGAGCTAAGTGGGCTTCAAAAACTAGTATTTTAAATATTTGATATGTTCTACTTAAGGCTGCAACTATTTTAGTTAATTTTACATGGATTGTTTCTCAAAGTCCAAGGTGATGTCTTGATTGGTCAGACCATCACACATATATATTTAAAAAGTGTAATATTAAACAGGAAAAAGACAGAAATCAACATATTTGGGGCTGAAAAAATAATTTCTTCCAATTTATATTATATTAAATATTAAAACATTGTTGATTGACTAATCAATTAGTAGAATAATCATTGCACCTCTACCTCCATGTATTTCAAGTAATGTCTAAGGTCGATAACAAACACAGGCTTGTATAATTATATATGTATGTATGTAAAATATCAAAATTGCTTAAATTGATGATATTGGTTAGTATAAAATATTGGAATATGGGACTTTCATTCTACGGGAAAAAGCAGGATGAATGACGACACACTCGCTGAAAATATAAGAACTATAAAATATCCCCAGGCGCATCCTTTAAGCCCCTGTCACACTGTCCCGAAATTGACACCCGATGGACACACGAATATGGAATTGTGAATTTCGCACGAAGATGGCCCCGAACCACACACGAAGGCAACATTTACATTACATTTAAGACATACAACTGCAACGAAAGTACCAAAAACAATTATGTTACAGTACTATGATACTGTACTGATATCTTCAGACTTTGTTCTTTACTTTATCCGTCTTTATATGTAGAAAATATTACGTTTTCTCCGTCATGTTGTTGTTTCCATAGCAACAACAACTTCCTGTCAACTCGCCTTCAAAATAATATATTATATCCTTTTTGGTTTCACAGAACACAAATTGGGTTATTTACATAATATATTTACATGATTTTGTTGTGCAATAAAAAACCCGATGGACACACGATAAAGGAAATGTTCAAATTCGGCTGTGATCGTAGCAACATCGGGCCATTCGTGAGGGCATCTTAAAGAGCCTGTGACAGCACCCCAACAACAATTGATGGGTTTGGATGATGGGGGAAACTCGTGTCACAGGCTCTTTAAGCCTTCGTATGACCGCCGGTGGAGTTTCTCAGGCTCCGGCAGCAACTTCGTGAGCGGTGGCAAAATCTTTGGCATGCCAAAAAATTGCCGAAGGACCTTGCGAAGGTTCATTTTCGTGTTGAATTCGTGTGTAAATGTTGCCCTTCGTAAGGCCATCGTGAGGGCATGTCTTGTTATCATCGGTGCCATCGGGCATTCGCCCCGATCAGAGTGAGGGCGAATGCACCGATGATAACACGAAGATGACACGATTTGACAAGATGCCCTCACGAGTGCCTTACGAAGTTGCCGCTCACGAAGTTGCTGCCGGAGCCTGAGAAACTCCACCGGCGGTCATACGATAGCTTAGATGCCCTCACGAATGGCCCGATGTTGTTACGATCACAGCCGAATTTGAACATTTCCTCTATCGTGTGTCCATCGGGTGTCAATTTCGGGACAGTGTGACAAGGCCTTTAATGTAATTGTGACAGGGAGGATTTGATAGCCTGTATTACTGCCCTTCTTCTATCTCCAAGTGTTTCTGAAAGGAGACGCTCCACACGGCTGATATTGATCTCTGCTACAGAGAAAAGGTCAAAGCAATGACGAGTCAGCATCTTCATAGACAGAAGCTCAGCAAAAATGGATGGGAAACATTCCCCTGAGAGTAAATGAGGATCAAACAACACGATCAGATGTGTTGTCATGTGAGGGCCAGGACACCAAAACAGAAAAACCTCCACGACTGCATCGACACTGTCAACGGGAAAAATTAGACCACAAAACAGGTACATCTATTTGATTATTAATACACATTATAATATATATTTGTGTGTCTGTATACTAAGTTTAACTGAATGTCCTCCCCCTGTTCCTCCTTTCTAACAGTTACATACTGTACGTCCAAGGGTAACCTCTGTGTGTGTGTGTGTGTGTGTGTGTGTGTGTGTGTGTGTGTGTGTGTGTGTGTGTGTGTGTGTGTGTGTGTGTGTGTGTGTGTGTGTGTGTGTGTGTGTGTGTGTGTGTGTGTGTGTGTGCGTGTGTGTGTGTGTGTGTGCGTGCGTGCGTGCGTGTGTGGTCTAGCATTACTATACTTGTGGGGACCTAAATCTGTTTACATAGTCACGTGTGGGGACTGGCTTCCCTTATGGGGACAAATTGGAGGTCCCCACGAGGGGAATCATTAATTTTAGGATGAAGACTTGGTTAGGTTTAGGATTAGGTTAAGGGTCAGGGTAAGACATGTGTTGGTTATGGTTATGGTTAGGATAAGTCTCCAGGAAATGCATGTAAGTCAATGTAATGTCCCCTGAAGTGATGTATACATGGTATGTGTGTGTGTGTGTGTGTGTGTGTGTGTGTGTGTGTGTGTGTGTGTGTGTGTGTGTGTGTGTGTGTGTGTACTCACGTCGTCCTCCTTGGTACCGCCCCAGAAGTTGGTCCCTCCTGCGTAGCTGGGAATGTTTAAAACTGCGATGCCCTGCAGGCTGGGGAGGGGGATGTACTGACCGTCACACTGGGGGAGAACCAGGAGAAACAAAGATGGCGTAAGAGAAGAAACAGGTAGGATGTCTGCAGGTTTCATCAACAGTCAACACATTTTACTACCTTCACTCAACTTTAAGATCAGCAGTGCAGCAGCAGATATGGAAGTAACTAAGTACATTTACTCAAGTGCTTGAGTATTTCCATTTTATGCTACTTTGTACTTCTACTCACTTCAGAGGTAAATGGTGTACTTCTACTCCACTACATGTATTTAATACCTTTAGTTACTTCACAGATGTGGATGAATGATGTGAAATCTAATCAAGTGTTGAATCAGACTTTAGTTCCACCTGGAGTAAATTCACCAGCTACCCTGCAGTATACAAAGTACTTCAGACTAGCTGCACCTTCACCAGCTTTGAGAACACTTTCATGATCAATCATTATAAAACATATCATATATATTATTCTGAAATGGACCAATCTGCACAACGACTACTTTCACTGTCTTTCACTATATTTTGATGAGAATACTTTTCTACTTTCACTTGAGGAACATTTTGAATGCTTTTACTGTAACAGAGTATTCCTACACTCTGGTACTTCTACTTTTACTCAAGAACAAGACCTGAGTACTTCTACTTTTACTCAAGTATAAGATCTGAGTACTTCTACTTTTACTCAAGTACAAGATCTGAGTACTTCTACTTTTACTCAAGTACTGTACAAGATCTGAGTACTTCTACTTTTACTCTAGTACAAGATCTGAGTACTTCTACTTTTACTCAAGTACAAGACCTGAGTACTTCTACTTTTACTCAAGTACAAGATCTGAGTACTTCTACTTTTACTGAAGTACACGATCTGAGTACTTCTACTTTTACTCAAGTATAAGATCTGAGTACTTCTACGTTTACTCAAGTACAAGATCTGAGTACTTCTACTTTTACTCAAGTACAAGATCTGAGTACTTCTACTTTTACTCAAGAACAAGATCTGAGTAATTCTACTTTTACTCAAGAACAAGATCTGAGTACTTCTACTTTTACTCAAGAACAAGATCTGAGTACTTCTACTTTTACTCAAGTACAAGATCTGAGTACTTCTACTTTTACTGAAGTACACGATCTGAGTACTTCTACTTTTACTCAAGTATAAGATCTGAGTACTTCTACTTTTACTCAAGTACAAGATCTGAGTACTTCTACTTTTACTCAAGAACAAGATCTGAGTACTTCTACTTTTACTCAAGTACAAGATCTGAGTACTTCTACTTTTACTCAAGTACAGGATCTGAGTACTTTTACTCAAGTAACAAGATCTGAGTACTTCTACTTTTACTCAAGTACAAGATCTGAGTACTTCTACTTTTACTCAAGTACAAGATCTGAGTACTTCTACTTTTACTCAGTCAGATCTGAGTACTTCTACTTTTACTCAAGTACAAGATCTGAGTACTTCTACTTTTACTCAAGTACAAGATCTGAGTACTTCTACTTTTATTCAAGTACAAGATCTGAGTACTTCTACTTTTACTCAAGTACAAGATCTGAGTACTTCTACTTTTACTCAAGTATAAGATCTGAGTACTTCTACTTTTACTCAAGTACAAGATCTGAGTACTTCTACTTTTACTCAAGTATAAGATCTGAGTACTTCTACTTTTACTCAAGTATAAGATCTGAGTACTTCTACTTTTACTCCAAGAACAAGATCTGAGTACTTCTACTTTTACTCAAGTATCAGATCTGAGTACTTCTACTTTTACTCAAGTATAAGATCTGAGTACTTCTACTTTTACTCAAGTACAAGATCTGAGTACTTCTACTTTTACTCAAGTACAAGATCTGAGTACTTCTACTTTTACTCAAGTATCAGATCTGAGTACTTCTACTTTTACTCAAGTATCAAGATCTGAGTACAGTACTTCTTACTTTTACTCAAGTACACGATCTGAGTACTTCTACTTTTACTCAAGTACAAGATCTGAGTACTTCTACTTTTACTCAAGTACAAGATCTGAGTACTTCTACTTTTACTCAAGAACAAGATCTGAGTACTTCTACTTTTATTCAAGTACAGATCTGAGTACTTCTACTTTTACTCAAGTACAAGATCTGAGTACTTCTACTTTTACTCAAGTATAAGATCTGAGTACTTCAGCTTTTACTCAAGTACAAGATCTGAGTACTTCTACTTTTACTCAAGTATAAGATCTGAGTACTTCTACTTTTACTCAAGTATAAGATCTGAGTACTTCTACTTTACTCAAGTATAAGATCTGAGTACTTCTACTTTTACTCAAGAACAAGATCTGAGTACTTCTACTTTTACTCAAGTACAAGATCTGAGTACTTCTACTTTTACTCAAGTATAAGATCTGAGTACTTCTACTTTTACTCAAGTATAAGATCTGAGTACTTCTACTTTTACTCAAGAACAAGATCTGAGTACTTCTACTTTTACTCAAGTACAAGATCTGAGTACTTCTACTTTTACTCAAGTATAAGATCTGAGTACTTCTACTTTTACTCAAGTACAAGATCTGAGTACTTACTAGCATAACCATATTTCTATAAGAGACAATGGGCATTAACGACGGTATTGATTGATTCAAGTTCAAGTGTTCTCCCTCACCTCCAGCTGGACCTTCTGCTCCAGGTTCTTGTAGGTTCTCTGCAGAAGTTCCTTAGTTCCCAGAACACCGTACCACATCATGTTCTTAGTGCGACTCCTGAGAAAGATGGAGCAGAGGGTGAGATTAGCAAGTTAACTGAACTTAGAAGACCTTCAGTATGTGCTCAGTGCCTGGTGGTCGTTTGACACCAGACGAACAACAGATGGAAGAAGTGCAATTATAACCTAGTACGAATATGAATTGTTGATATTGGCAGGTTTTTGAATCCACAGATAAAGAATATTAGCATGTTAGATAAATATAAATAAAATAATATTTTACATATAACCTACGCTGCAAGTCGTTTTGTCTAATTTCGACTATGTGCACATTTAAAAAATATATAGTATTTTTTGTGTGCATCTGCAAGTGGGCAATCATGGTAACAGTAGACATGATATTATGTCAGTAAATATGTATGACAGGGTTCATACACTTTTTCACCAATGATTTTCAATGACTTCTCCAGGACCTTTACCTAATTTTCAATGACCAAAGAAATGACTCTTTCTCAGCGGTTCCACTGAACATGGTTTATTTTAACATGGAACAGGAAAATACGGTCTGCATCTGAAACATGTCGTGCCTATCTAAAACAAATCCAATAGGCTTACTAGCTTCACGCTAAAGCAACTCAAATCTCTCACCAGCAAAACACCTCGTCAGTTAAATGTTTCATTTCTACACGATACAGTATTAATTATCATTATATTACTATTTCGGCGATTAGATCAAATATAAATTATATTTGATGCAACTTTAGTTACATTTCCATGACTTTTCCAAAACTTTGGGAAACATATTGTTTTCCAAAACTTTTCCAGGGCCTGGAATTAGCATTTTGAATTTCCATGACTTTTCCAGGTTTTCAATGACCGTAGGAACCCTGGGATGAGGATCGGCTAAAACTAGATGGAAACTAGATGCAAAAATCCAACATTGTCCAAATTGAAAGGATTAATAGTGGATTATATCCTGCAGGGATTATATGTCTTCACATTCAGAACACAATATTAGCTTTACTGATCATTAGATATACAATATTGAGATGAATAAGCATATTTTGGACACCATGCCAAGTATAATATCTCTTGCTTGATGGCTGGGAGGATCAGAAATGTGTCTCACCTGCATTTCTCTGGATGCTCCTCTCGCTTGTTGTTGAACTCCAGAGAGATTTTAGCATCCAGGCCGATACCGAAGTAGTTGTTCATCACACACTTCTCCATGTAGCCCTCTCTGATAAAGAAACACAAGCAGACAATACGTTGAAGCTCACACATAAATGAAGCAAGCTAGCAAGGACACACAGATAGAGAAACAGAGAGATATGGGTACAGATTTACAATCAAACAAAGAGTGTGTGAGACTCGTGGAGAGGCTCTTCTCTTACAGGGAGTCGAGGTCGTCGATGAAGGGCGTCGCTCCGAACGGGTCGATGTTAGCGAGCAGCATCTTGCTAATGATGGAGCTGCCGGCGATGGAGGCAGCCAGACCCGCCCGCAGACCTACACACACACACACACACACACACACACACACACACACACACACACACACACACACACACACACACACACACACACACACACACACACACACACACACACACACACACACACAGAGAGACACACAGTCACATGACACCGAGTAGAAATGTCCAAGTGGAGGAGGAAACTAACATAGGTATATCTGAACAAAGTGTTGCTAAATGTACGTGGAGGGAGTGTGGGTCGGCTTCTCTTATTTAAAGTGGACCTATCATGCGATATTGAAACATATATTGTAGGGCCGTACCTATACAAAACATGTCTGTGAAGTTCGTTGCTTAAAATACCAAACAGATCCCCCGTTGCAGCCGCGCCTCATTCTGCTCAAACCCCTCTATCCAGCCCTGTTAGAGAAACAAGGATTTTGGGTCCTTAGCTTGAAAAATTAAAAAGAGGAGGCGGAGCTAATGCCTGATCGGAATTGTACCGGAGATAAAGTTAAATTCTGCTGTGATAAAACGCCATCCTGTTCTAAACCACATCAAGGATTATTTCTGAAACAGTATGGAGCTCAAATGCTTTTTCTCTCTCAGGTTTATCACAAGGTGAGTTCATTTTTTTATTTCCTGCTTTTTAAACACGTGCTCTCCAGTACAGGTTAGCTCTGAGTGTTAGCGAGGCTAATGTAAACAAAGACGTCCAAAACACGTCAGGCATTGTTTCTGATAGCAACTCTCTGTGGGTCCGCCGCCGATTTGACGTCAGATCGGCAGCAAATCTGCTCGTTGTTCCCCGTTTTTAGAGATTTGGGTACGGAGGAAAAGAGAGAGGGTTTTATTTGCTGACGCTGCGTGGGTCACATCTTTATGTATAAAGGACATCACAAAGTGCATTTTGCATGATAGGTCCCCTTTAAATGTTGTTATTTTTAAGTGGAGAGACATGATTTTCTGTGAAAGAAATAGGTACATTGATATTGGCAATCCAATTTCTACTTTTTTAATGCTATTTTATTTGTATTTGAGATGTTTACATTGTGAATCGTTTATTTCTAGTCTTTTAATTTCTCTAATGTACAATGCTGCTGCAACGCAAACATTTCCCAAATTGGGAACAATAAAGTACTTCTTATGAAATAAATAGACACATGAGTGTTACCGGGGCAGATGATGCGTGTGTTGAGCACCGGGAGGTTCTCCTTGCTGGTGGTGAAGGGGGTGATGGTGAAGGAGCCGTACGCCTGAGTGCTGCGACTCACCTTCCTGTCCTCTGGAGAACAAGGACTCTTAGCAGCTGCAGAGACACAAGGAGGAGACAGAAACACTTCAACATCAGGACTTTTCTCCACTTCAAATGTTAAATGTTGGGAAAATACTGAATATACTCAGAGTCCACATGATAACAAAGGTATCCAACTGCAGCTGTGAACATGACAGGATGTGTGATTACCTAGAAGAGCATCAGGACTGTTTGAGGCATATGATAGCTATGTGATTAACATGATGATTCAGCCTCTATGGAGAGAGACATCAAGCATGCTCATTTCTGACGTGGAGCTAATCTGAACTAAACATTGAATACTGCTTTCTATTCCTCCATCTTGTGACTGTGTAACTCCCTCTCTTGGATATCAGCATGTGAAGGACACTGTTCAGGAACTAGTTGATGCTCTGTATGTGATGACTACTTCCATTCTGGAGAGGATCACAGATACATGGATCCTGAGATTGAAGATCAAGCCGGTGACGAATGATTATTATTATTTTTAAGTATTCAGAAAAAGTGAGAATTTAGAGATTTTTTAGAAAAAGGGAGAATTTTGAGAATAAGTGAGAATTTTGAGATTTTTAGAAAAAGTGAGACATTTTAGATTTTGAGAAAAAGTGAGCATTTAGAGATTTTTAGAAAAAGGGAGAATTTTGAGAAAAAGTGAGAAATTTGAGATTTTTAGAAAAAGTGAGAATTTAGAGATTTTTTTAGAAAAAAGTGCGAATTTTGAGATTTTGAGAAAAAGTGCGAATTTTGAGATTTTAAGAAAAAACTCAGTATTTTGTACATGACAACCGGTATTCCTCCATCTTGTGACTATGTAACTCCCTCTCTTGGATATCAGCATGTGAAGGACACTGTTCAGGAACTAGTTGATGCTCTGTATGTGATGACTCCTTCCATTCTGGAGAGGATCACAGGTACATGGATCCTGAGATTGAAGATCAAGCCGGTGACTAGTGAGATTTTTCTAACATTTAACATCGATGCTTCACATTCCTCTTTCCTTATGGACAAACACATCACTTTTGAATGAGATACCACCGTATCCCAGCAGGGGGCATCATTAAACACGCCTCAGATGTTATGAGTAGGTAAAGCTGTGTGAGTAGGTAAAGCTGTGATAACAAAGAAACACTTTCAGAGTAAAAGCCAACTTTGACAGTAATGGACAATAATCTATAGAATGAAATGGACAGTCAATAGAGGGATGAAATGGATTAAAAATATAATCGAATTATTGTAAAAGGCTTGGTGTGGTAGGTAGCTTCAGCATACACTACATTTAGTATGCAAGTTAAAGTGGAAAACATTTCAATTACAAAGGGTTTAAAATATATTCTGGTTGGCTGTTGTCCAAAAAAGGTTATTTGTCTCATTTACAAATGTCTGTGCTGAGTCAGGTAATGTCAGAGCCTGAGTTAACGTCATGATGTCGCTTTGCTTTTGTAGTTTTCAGCTGTTTTGTGGATGCACAATGACAGCTTCTGCACACTGCTGCATAGCAACACTGCTCATGTTGACAGACACCACGTTAACATACAGCCAGACTCTGACATTCACTGAGGGATGGATTTAACAACCCGTCCTGCTCACATCCTCCGAGGGTTTTTCGATTTGTGTCCAGGTCAGGGAGGAGTGAGGAGGCAGAGAGAGGCGGACTGATACCTCCTTCTCTTCCAACGGCTGGAAAATGTGTGGAAGGAAGGAAGGAAGCGGCCCCACGATAAACAGGAAGCACTGCTGCCCCTAAGACAATAACACATCCTGTGGCCCACACACACACACACACACACACACACACACACACACACACACACACACACACACACACACTTTGGTGTTTTCCCTTTCCTGTAGTGTTGTATCGGTTAGACCGGTTAGAGATGTTCCGCACCTTAGCCTATCATGTATAATGTGTTGGAGCACTAGCCAATAGAAACACGAGACTCAGTGACGTCACTATGTTCTGGAAGTAAAGAAAGGAGTCCAATGGAGGCGTTTCAGAGAGAGGGGGGGGGGGCGAGTGTGTGGGAGAGAAACACAGGGATTTTAGCCTTAAGTAGTTAACGCACAATCACTTGGGGCAGTGGCTCAGTCATTGGGGGCTTGGACTGTGAGCCGTAGGGTCGCCGGTTCAAGTCCCCGAACAGACCTGAATATGGAGTGTGGACTGCTACTTGGAGAGGTCCCAGTTCACCTCCTGCCGTGCCGTGGTGCCCTTGAGCAAGGCACCGGACACCCCCCTTCCCCCCTCACTCCCATTGCTCCCCGGGCGCTGTACAATAGCTGCCCACTGCTCCTAGTACTAGACTAGACTCCTGGTTCTAGACTCCTGGTGCTAGGATGGGTTAAAAGCAGAGAACACATGTCCCTGTGTGTGCTGTGTGCTCTGCTTGTGTGACCATTAAAGAGGGTTTCATATTCTATTCTATTGAGTAAATGTACTTAGACCTACATTCCAACACTGACATTTACTCCCACTATCGAGCACATACAAAGCTGCCAAGTCATTCACACACGTTTAAACACATACCATGTATACATCACTTCAGGGGACATTACATTGACTTACATGCATTTCCTGGAGAGACTTATCCGAACCTTAACCATAACCAACACATGCCTAACCCTTAACCTTACCCTTAACCTTACCCCTAACCAAGTCTTCACCCTAAAATTAATGATTCCCCTCATGGGGACCTCCATTTTGTCCCCATAAGGGAGGCGAGTCCCCACACGTGACTGTGTAGACAGATTTAGGTCCCCACAAGTATAGTAATGCTAGGCCACACACACACACAAACACACGCACACATTTAAATAGACACACACACACACACACACACACACACACATTTAAACAGACACACACACATACAGGCTTTTTAGTGACAGTGGGACAGGTACGGTCGTTTATTATTAAAGCAGTTCTCTGCAGATGGACAGATAAACAGCCTGGCTCAGGAGGTGGAATATCTCTCTGCACTCACAGAACCAACAGAACTCACAGAACTAATCCCAGAGTTTATTTATGACAGGAAGCATGATTTGCGTCAGCAGCACTCTTTTTTTCCATTAACTGTGTGTCTGTTGCTCTGTGGTGCAGAGAGGGGAGCGAACACAAGGGGGCGACATTTAAACCCTGTTTCTCTTTCTCACTTTCTCACATGTACTTATTATACCTTAATATAATTCTGTTTACCATTAAGAGTAGACATTACTGTTCTTCTGAATGATAGAGAGAAGAGGGGGGGGGGAGTGTGTCTAAAGCTATGGGAGGCTTTGCCTAAGGATATTCTTGTTAGGGAATCATTTGCCCTTGTGTCCTCCTTCACCCTCTGACACAGATGCTCCAACCTTGAGCAGCCGTTATCTCCCTTAAGGAGGGGCTGCCCTAGCAAGTTGTTGTTGTTACCAGTTTGTGAGCGGGAAACTGTGTGGGACACCTGGAACACATCCCTCTCGGGGTGTAGATGACCCCGAGCCATAACCGACAACAGTTTCCTCCGCTGTTTTGTCTAACGAATGAAGAATGTTGTTTACCCTTAGCGAAACTAGTTAGAACCTCATAGGAGAGGAAGGTGTGGCATCTCAACCGTGTGGTCAGGCCCGTGACATGTCTTGTGAATTCTCCGGCCGAAGCTCCAAATAAACCGTCAGTGTTTGCCATCAAAGCTCCAGCTCTCCTCGTGTCTCTCTGAGTCCTGACTCCATCAAAGCTCCAGCTCTCCTCGTGTCTCTCTGAGTCCTGACTCCATCAAAGCTCCAGCTCTCCTCGTCTCTCTCTGAGTCCTGACTCCATCAGAGCTCCAGCTCTCCTCGTCTCTCTCTGAGTCCTGACTCCATCAAAGCTCCAGCTCTCCTCGTCTCTCTCTGAGTCCTGACTCCATCAAAGCTCCAGCTCTCCTCGTCTCTCTCTGAGTCCTGACTCCATCAAAGCTCCAGCTCTCCTCGTCTCTCTCTGAGTCCTGACTCCATCAGAGCTCCAGCTCTCCTCGTCTCTCTCTGAGTCCTGACTCCATCAAAGCTCCAGCTCTCCTCGTCTCTCTCTGAGTCCTGACTCCATCAAAGCTCCAGCTCTCCTCGTGTCTCTCTGAGTCCTGACTCCATCAAAGCTCCAGCTCTCCTCGTCTCTCTCTGAGTCCTGACTCCATCAAAGCTCCAGCTCTCCTCGTGTCTCTCTGAGTCCTGACTCCATCAAAGCTCCAGCTCTCCTCGTGTCTCTCTGAGTCCTGACTCCATCAAAGCTCCAGCTCTCCTCGTGTCTCTCTGAGTCCTGACTCCATCAGAGCTCCAGCTCTCCTCGTCTCTCTCTGAGTCCTGACTCCATCAAAGCTCCAGCTCTCCTCGTGTCTCTCTGAGTCCTGACTCCATCAAAGCTCCAGCTCTCCTCGTCTCTCTCTGAGTCCTGACTCCATCAAAGCTCCAGCTCTCTTCGTCTCTCTCTGAGTCCTGACTCCATCAAAGCTCCAGCTCTCCTCGTCTCTCTCTGAGTCCTGACTCCATCAAAGCTCCAGCTCTCCTCGTGTCTCTCTGAGTCCTGACTCCATCAAAGCTCCAGCTCTCCTCGTGTCTCTCTGAGTCCTGACTCCATCAAAGCTCCAGCTCTCCTCGTCTCTCTCTGAGTCCTGACTCCATCAGAGCTCCAGCTCTCCTCGTGTCTCTCTCTGAGTCCTGACTCCATCAGAGCTCCAGCTCTCCTCGTCTCTCTCTGAGTCCTGACTCCATCAAAGCTCCAGCTCTCCTCGTCTCTCTGAGTCCTGACTCCATCAAAGCTCCAGCTCTCCTCGTCTCTCTCTGAGTCCTGACTCCATCAAAGCTCCAGCTCTCCTCGTCTCTCTCTGAGTCCTGACTCCATCAAAGCTCCAGCTCTCCTCGTCTCTCTCTGAGTCCTGACTCCATCAAAGCTCCAGCTCTCCTCGTCTCTCTCTGAGTCCTGACTCCATCAAAGCTCCAGCTCTCCTCGTGTCTCTCTGAGTCCTGACTCCATCAAAGCTCCAGCTCTCCTCGTCTCTCTCTGAGTCCTGACTCCATCAAAGCTCCAGCTCTCCTCGTGTCTCTCTGAGTCCTGACTCCATCAGAGCTCCAGCTCTCCTCGTCTCTCTCTGAGTCCTGACTCCATCAGAGCTCCAGCTCTCCTCGTCTCTCTCTGAGTCCTGACTCCATCAAAGCTCCAGCTCTACTCGTGTCTCTCTGAGTCCTGACTCCATCAGAGCTCCAGCTCTCCTCGTGTCTCTCTGAGTCCTGACTCCATCAAAGCTCCAGCTCTACTCGTGTCTCTCTGAGTCCTGACTCCATCAGAGCTCCAGCTCTCCTCGTGTCTCTCTGAGTCCTGACTCCATCAGAGCTCCAGCTCTCCTCGTCTCTCTCTGAGTCCTGACTCCATCAAAGCTCCAGCTCTCCTCGTGTCTCTCTGAGTCCCGACTCCATCAAAGCTCCAGCTCTCCTCGTGTCTCTCTGAGTCCCGACTCCATCAAAGCTCCAGCTCTCCTCGTGTCTCTCTCTGAGTCCCGACTCCATCAAAGCTCCAGCTCTCCTCGTGTCTCTCTGAGTCCTGACTCCATCAAAGCTCCAGCTCTCCTCGTGTCTCTCTGAGTCCCGACTCCCAATTGCTTCAGAAGTTTCCCCCACACTTCTCAAAGTATTTTTATTATTATTTTATTTTAAATATATACAAAATAAAAGAAATGTGACAGAAGAGGTTGAGAAGCCACAAACCTTATATGATAGACGTTAATAAGGAAAACAAATATATAAATAATTTAGAATAATACAACAAAAACATTTATGACAAGCAGCAGGGAAAAAAGGCATCGATATATTTTGAAAAAAATCGAACAGAATCTTTTTAAAAACTATAAAATACTGGTAAAAATTGATTAGGAGATGAGAAGATAATTCTAAAGAATCATTTAGAAAAATACAACAACAAATAAATGACAAGAAACAGGTAGAAAAACACATAAATTATATTTAAAAAAATACAGACAACAATCCCATTAAAGAAAATACGGGTAATGAGTTGTTGATAATGGTAATTTAAATCTACACCTCAATATCTGAAGGAGTGTGTTTGGTAGCTAAAAGATGAAATAAACGGAAAGTACTAATAATAAATCAAATCTAATGAAAGTAGTTGTAAAAAAGGGGTTTTAAAAGTGGTGTTAAAAAGACCAGAAGGAGTTTGATGGTAGGGAAAGAGCATCAAGAAGCCTGGACTACTTATTTAAAAACATGTCTTTGAAGTGACTGAGAAGAACGCTGGTAATGAGGACGACTTGGAGATGAAACATGGAAGTGTTTTTGGAAGTGTCCTTGGATGGAAATGCATGAAGGTGCCAGGTCTGCAGGAGATAATATATATAAACTCACATGTGACGGCCTCCAGCTCCTTGGTGTCCTCGTCCTTCTCGCTCTCTCTGTTCTCGTCCTCGCTGAACTTCCTGTACTCCAGAGGAGACGGCAGCTCCGAGTCCTCAGAGTGGGCGTTCTGCTCGTCCACCACTGCACACAGAGAGAGTACAGTAAGCATGACATACTACCTTTTGATGCATGCTTCTTAGGTTACATGAAGCTGTCTGTGGCTCTTCTCTGCTGTAACAATGTGAATGTCTCCTCTGTGGGACTAGTAAAGGTATTCTGATTCTGACACCATGCATGTGCAGAACATCCTCATCCTATGCATGACAACAATTCAGAATATAATAATAATTGGTTTCTGTCCTTTTCCTCACAAAACCTGTTCTGCAATTTAAAAATAACGTTTTGAAACATATGCTGACCCAAAATGATGTATAGTTGACTTTGTGTTAAAGAGAATCTGTGTGAAGTGTATCTAGGTGGGTTTCACCTTCATACATGTGTAGTGTAAACATGTTCATCTATATAACTATATCTACTATATCTATATACTTCTCTTCAGTTCATTCATGTTTATACTATAGTCTCTATATTGCATCCGTCATATTTATATAAATTATACTTATTCTCTTGCACTTCTGGTTGGATGCATTTTGTTGTCTACTTTCTGCATTGACAATAAATCTAATATAATCTAATAATCCATGTGCATTCGTTTAAATTGTGCATGCAGTACATTTCTCGGCCTGCTCTATGATTGGATGCATGTTATTGTCTACTTTCTGCCTTGACAACAAAGTTGAATCTAATATAATTGAATATAAGTACCTTTCTCAGCCTGCTCGATGATCCTCCTCACAGCCTTCTTCAGGCTGTTGGCCCTCAGCATCATCTGCTCGCGACTCTTGAACAGCTGATGAGGAGCGGAGCGTCTCCCCTTCTCCGTCTCCACCTCCTCCAGCTTCTCCTTCAGCTCCGTCAGGCTCTCCTCGCTCGCCTCCTCCTCTTCTTCTTCCTCTTCCTCCTGCTCCTCCTCCACGATGGGGGGAGTGGCGTGAGGGAGGGCAGAGATCTGGCTCTCTGTGTTCAGGGTCTGCAGGAGGGAGTCCAGCTTCTCGTTCAGGATGGCACACTGAGGAGCAAACAGAGGGTTCAAATAGATAAGATAAGCAGAGAGTACACACGTCCTTGACTCAAGTAGAAGTACACACATCCTTTACTCAAGTAGAAGTACACACATCCTTTACTCAAGTAGAAGTACACACATCCTTTACTCAAGTAGAAGTACACACATCCTTTACTCAAGTAGAAGTACAGATACTCATGTATAAAAATACTCTGGTGAAAGTAGAAGTACTGACTAAACTTCTTTCCTCAAGTCAAAGTAAAGAGGCTTTGAAGTGTACTTCAGTAAAAAGTACCCATAACTAGCAGCTGCTTTAAAGAGTACCTGACCTCCCTTTATATTAATAGAACAATAATGTCATTGTTAGCTAATGAATGTTTCCATGCTGAACAACGGCAACATGACAACGTTTCCATTGGTCCCTCTTCTTTAGAGAAGAGCAGGAAATGATGGATACACGGATCGTGTTCAAATCAATAGGCACGCAATGACTCTGAAGAATAATGATCACGCATCAAACACACATTCAGACTAAAGGAACCAGCTGTTTGGAAAATGAGAGAAGTAGAAAGTACAAGTATTTGAGTTCAACATGTAAGAAGTAGAAAGTACAGGTATTTGAGTTCAACATGTGAGAAGTAGAAAGTACAGGTATTTGAGTTCAACATGTAAGAAGTAGAAAGTACAGGTATTTGAGTTCAACATGTAAGAAGTAGAAAGTACAGGTATTTGAGTTCAACATGTAAGAAGTAGAAAGTACAGGTATTTGAGTTCAACATGTAAGAAGTAGAAAGTACAGGTATTTGTGTTCAACATGTAAGAAGTAGAAAGTACAGGTATTTGGGTTCAACATGTAAGAAGTAGAAAGTACAGGTATTTGAGTTCAACATGTAAGAAGTAGAAAGTACAGGTATTTGTGTTCAACATGTGAGAAGTAGAAAGTACAGGTATTTGTGTTCAACATGTAAGAAGTAGAAAGTACAGGTATTTGAGTTCAACATGTAAGAAGTAGAAAGTACAGGTATTTGTGTTCAACATGTAAGAAGTAGAAAGTACAGGTATTTGTGTTCAACATGTGAGAAGTAGAAAGTACAGGTATTTGTGTTCAACATGTGAGAAGTAGAAAGTACAGGTATTTGAGTTCAACATGTAAGAAGTAGAAAGTACAGGTATTTGGGTTCAACATGTAAGAAGTAGAAAGTACAGGTATTTGAGTTCAACATGTAAGAAGTAGAAAGTACAGGTATTTGAGTTCAACATGTGAGAAGTAAAAGTAAAAAGTGGTCAGAAAAATAAGTAGTGGAGTAAAGTACTGATACCAGAAACATGTACTTAAGTACAGTAACAAAGTATTTATACTCCACTACTTCCACCTCTGAAGATAAGATAAAAAGTACTTTATTGATCACAATGTGGGAGATGTCTGCGTTGCAGCAGCATACAAACACAACGCATTGGAGAAATTAAAAGACTAAACACCTCAAATAGAAATAAAATAGAATTAGAAAAGTAGTAATACAAATGTACAGTAACAAAATATTAAGCAGATATTATATATACATTGAGTATGTAAGGAATGGAATATTACATACTCAATTGAATATACATAGAGCCTCTCAGTGAAGGATGTTATAAAGTGTGTTTGAGTCTTACTTTGAGAGACATGGTGTCGCACTCCTCCGTGTTCTCTGTCGTTTTCTCGTAGCCTTTCCCCACTTTGGCAACAAAATCCTTCACTGTTTCACACAGGATCCTGAGGAGCAGGAAGGACACATCAGTGTGATCAATAACACGTGGGACAACAGGAAGGACAAAGAAATCAGAGCTCTGATGAACATTGTAGAAACCAGACTGATGATCTGCAGACTTTCATAACTGTATCCTTTTGTGCCGTCATTTCTAATCCTGCAGTAATGTTATTCATCTCCTTGGATTTGATTTATACATTTTAGTTTTACAACACAAATGTACAGCTCTGTTTTGAACTACATGTCTTTGCTTAATCTGGCTTTACAAACTATTATTGCAAACATGTTTAGTTAAATGCAGTGGATCTGTTATATCAAGTAATACAAATAAATAATACATATCAATTCAAATCATTTCCCCCCGATTGAACACACCTCTATCTACAGGTATATATTGCATCTGTGAGTTGTCCTTGATTTGTTTGAAGTGCTTGGTGTTCATTTTGATGGAGGTGGTTGTGGGCAATAGTTACGTTTAATATTTAGTTGATTGATAGAATAAAAATACAAAACAAGATATTTAGTTGACATTATACTCGATTGATTGCTAACTTATGATTACAGCATTTGTTGTTGTTGTTTTAAAAGGAGTACGAAACAAACAACGTATAGAAAACAACTATCAATATGTTGGGGACTTTAAAAAGAGTTTGTTGAAATGGACTTTAGTGGAAGTCTGTTTTGGTTTGGCATCAAGCTAACAAGTTAAGAACCGTACTTGGCGGAGGAGATGACCACAGAGTTCTGCTCAGAGTTGAGGATCTTCGTGAGGTGAGCAGCTACTGAGTCCTCGTAGGCTGAGATGTGAAACTGGAGAGAAAACACAAGTTAGAACGTACTTATTTATCTTGTAGTGAGCATTAGAGCACATTCCTCCTCCTCCTCCTCCTCCTCCTCCTCCTCCTCCTCCTCCTCCTCCTCCTCCTCCTCCTCCTCCTCCTCCTCCCCCTCCTCCTCCTCCTCCTCCTCCTCCTCCTCCTCCTCCTCCTCCTCCTCCTCCTCCTCCTCCTCCTCCTCCTCCTCCTCAATGTGTGTGGTGATGTTTGTGTATATGTGTCAGTTCTGGTGTGTACCTGGCAGTGTGTGTGTGTGTGTGTGTGTGTGTGTGTGTGTGTGTGTGTGTGTACCTGGCAGTTGTCGGGTCCTTCAGGCGTGGTGGGGCAGCTGTGTTTGGGGGGGGATCTTGATCTCGTAGGTCATGATGCTCCAGCGGTCCAGCATCTTGGTGCTGGCTCTCTCCAGCTTCTCCAGGGTGGTGGGCAGCTGCGTGTCGTCGTCACAGGACGGCCCCCAGCCCAGCACCCGAGCCAGGTCGTTCCCCGTGCCCAACGGCAAGACCCCCAACTGGCACTGAGACACAGGAACAGGGGGCAGATGGCATCAAAAGGTAAGGTATGTTTATTTATATAGCACATTTTCAGACACAGAGGCAATTCAAAGTGCTTTTCATCAGCATTCACCCTTAATAAGAAGACAACAGAAAGGAACTCAATAAATGGAATAACAGATTCATAAAACCTATGCATAAAAGAGAACTTTTTTGTATGCATGCTTCTTAGGTAACATTAAGCTGTCTTTGGCTCTTTTCTGTTCAGTACCAGGACTTCAAAACGTATTAAGAAATGATAAAATAAGATTATGTGGACGGACAGTGTTCAATTAAATCCTGAGTGATTCATTTTCTTACCATTTCTTACGTCATGGCTGAGTTTGATTTTGACTAAACCCAACTGAATCTAATAGCAAGGCAAACAAATATATTGAGACTATTATTATTATTATTATTATCATCCATCATAATTATTTCATCTGTTTTAAGGACGAACTTGATGTTTGTGTGTGAAATTCAGAGTAAGAACCAAAAGCACAGAACGCTTGAACAAGTTGAAATTGCTGGAGTGTTGGGTGTCAAACACTGAGGCTTTTGTAATGTAGCTTTCGTTGAAGCTTCTCGATGCATCTGTAACTCTAGAGTTTCCTCCAGTACCTGTTTGTGGAGGTTGAGTTTGTCGATCTCTGAGAGGACCCAGCCCACGCTGCCGTCTCCTCCACACACCAGGATCCGGAAGTTATCAAACTTCTGAAACAGGCGCAGACTGACACACACACACACACACACACACACACACACACACACACACACACACACACACACACACACACACACACACACACACACACACACACACACACACACACACACACACACACACACACACACACACACACACACACACACACACACACACACACACACAATTATATTAATTTTCATATTTACTGCGAGATGCATCCATGCACATATCCAACAAACATATTATAAAATGGCATTTAAGAACACTCATTTAAAGGTGGGGTAGGTAAGTTTGAGAAACCGGCTCGAGATACACTTTTTGTTATATTCCATGGAATGCTCTTAACATCCCGATAGCAATGAATATCTGAAGTGCTTTGACAAAAAATCCATAACAATATATCACCTGTGGAAGCCGTGGCGCTGTAAAAAGCACGACCAATCATCTGAGCCGGCTAAAGTAACTGGATGGCCTACCTGCCTGTCAGCCTTCCATCTGGGCACAAACTTATCTCGTGCCCTCATTGGTCATGTGCGCGTTCGTGTGTGTTGGAGGAGGGGCTCTGTAAGGAAGTAGCAGATTTCTTCCGGTTGTGTATTTTCAAATTCTAGCGCACTCGAGCTGGTTTCTCCAAAATGTCCTACCCCACCTTTAAAAGCAAAGATATTATATTAGAATTGAAAGGGTGAGTTTGTTTTGCTGACCCGAGGTGCGGCCCCCCGTTGACGAGGTCAAAGACCTGCGCCGGGTTGAGGAGCTGCTTGAAGCGCCGCAGGAACTTCACTCCCTGGTTGTCTCCACTTTTAGAGTTCACAAAGACCAGGAGGGGGCTGGCACAGGAGGGGGGGCAGGTGGCCTTCCAGAAGCCTGAGGGGAGAGAAGGAGAGAGAGATGAAGGTTTTCTGGGTACAAATAACTAAAAGGCGTGTTCACACCAGAGTACTTTTCCCGTTTAGATCCGATAGTGCCTGGAAGTTTGCGTTCACACCAAAAAGAGTACTTCGTTCCGAGAACTTTTACCCCCTTTATAGTGCCGGAAGTCCAACTCCGGGGACTTCCGAAAGCGGCTAATGTTAAAAATCACAAGTCTCTACCCTCTCAACCTGTATCACCAACACCGAAGCCTTTAAAGCTCCAACCTTCACTTCCTTCCCACCAGAAGGGCAAAGGAACCATATACTGTATCTGCATATTGAAGTATGAAAGCTTGTTGTTTGTTTGTTGTCTTCTCCTGAATGTTGTACGTCTCTTGTTGGGTTTTTTGTATTTTTGATGGCACCTTAGAAAAAGCAGCAGCTCTACTCCTCTCATTGAACCTGTATAATGACAATAAAGGATTCTATTCTATTATCCACCTTCCAGATTCCCTTTGATTCTTACCTATGTTGAAAGAAAAGAGTTTAATCCTGTGGATGCATGAAATTGTTCTTTTTATTTAGATAAAATCATCCACAGCAACGAAACCCTTGTAAACCATCAGATGTGGATATAAGATGCAGCTGGATCCAGTGTTTAAATGCTCACACCACACGGGATGTTCGATGAACCACCACTCCAAGAAACTATTGTTTTTTCAACTACATTTCAGGTCTTTTTGGAGGTCTCTGTGTTGGAGCGGAGATTGTGTGGCTCAGGTCTGTTTGACGGCGTATGGAAGTTGAAACCCAGATAATATTCTTACCATCCATCTTCCCTTTTGTCAAACCTATCCTGTAATGTTTCATGTTTGTCTATTGCACCTCTGTTGCTTTTCATGAGATTGCTTCCATTATTTCCAAAAGTTAAAAGTACTTTTAGGTGTAGGCTACTTTTTAGGATTTAGGGCAAGGGACAGAAAGTGTGGTCTGCTGTACAGATAGTAAAGCCCCTTGAGGTCAATTATTTATTCATGATATTGAGCTAAATACAGGGTTTGTACAGCTTTCAAGCACTTTAAGGGTACACACACAGAAAATACCCAGGCACTAGAAATCTAATGGCGCATTTCCACTGCAGGGCCTCGCACGGCTTAGCACGGTATAGTTAGGCCTTGTTAGGCCAGGCTCACTTTATGCTGCGTTTCCTTTACAGTTTAGTAGCTGGGGCAGTAACTATAGTAACGCAGTGTAGGCGGAGCCGTGACGTCATTTTCGATGCGAAACACAAAACCAACATCAGCCGTTAGCTGTTAGCACTCAGAGCTCACAGCTCCTCATATCTGTTCAGAAACTAGACAAAAGTTAAACAAGTACAAACCACAGACTGCCTGTGTCATGGCGAATACAGTCGCTGGTTTATTAATGTCTGTATAGGCCGTTGTTGTGAGTGTGGACGGTCGGAGCGTATACTGCGTTAGCTTAGCCAAGCTCCATTCAGAAAACACGCATTTTAAAAGGTTGTTCGCCTGCCGTCTGTCTGCAGACTTGTCAAAGCATTAATTCATGGTTGTTACTAACCGGTATCAGTATGTTGTTACTTCGGCATCATTTTGAAACGTGTATTACAATTAAATCACGGTCAAATATGTTCATTTTGTTGTAGTGGTAGCCCCCTTGCCGTCACTAGTTTAGCATACTCAGCCTGGTTGTTGGCCCGGAAAGAACCACGATTTTGGAGGGCCAGAAAACTGTGAAAAAGTACCCGTTAGCCGGAACTACGCCAAGTGGAAACGCAACACGCTGCAGTGGAAGTGCAATTGTGAAAAATAAAGTTTTGGGTTTAGGGTTAGGGTGCTTTTAAGGATGAAACACCAGATTCTGCATCAATCATTTTTCAAGAAGTATATTCAAGCATCTGACTAGTTAACACCATAACGGTTCAAATGATCCCACACGTTGAAGATTTTGCAGTAATATTGACTTGACTTAAGCCTTTCTCATTTGATAACCTTAACCCAGGGTCTATCTCAAACAGGAACATCCGTTTTGAATGCAGTCACTGATATACATTCACTCAGTTATCGTTAAACATCCTCACTACCAGTCAGTGGTTGCAGCGGTATATTGCATGAGAGCACAGCACATGCCAAAAACACGTGTTATGATGCCAGCAGAGCACACACACACACACACACACACACACACACACACACACACACACACACACACACACATCATCATGCATACACACTAATCTGCAGGAGGTAATGCAACAAGAGGTTTGTGCTTACAGCATAATCTGCACAGTGTGCCGACAGCTTCGTGAGGGCTTCCACTGTGTGTGTGTGTGTGTGTGTGTGTGTGTGTGTGTGTGTGTGTGTGTGTGTGTGTGTGTATCTCCTCCTCGCACTCGCTCTTATTGCTTTTTCCCTTCACGTCTTTCTTCTGCTCTCTAATCTCTCTCTGTCTCCCCTCTTCGATTTCTCTCTTCTGTCTGTATCTGCCTCTGTGCTGGTGTCAGTAAAGGATGGATTCAGGGAGGGAGGAAGCGAGGGAAGGAGGGGAGACACAATGCTGCAGCACGTGCTACGGTCTGCCTTTCAGACAATTACAATAATCCCCCCCCAACTCTTTCCCATTTGGGTATCTTTTTTTTATTTGTCCTTCTTCCTCCGCTGCTTTCTCATCCGGAATCCCCATCCTCCCTTTGTTTTTTATCCATCTCCCAATTAGCCGATTCCAGTGTGTGTGTGTGTGTGTGTGTGTGTGTGTGTGTGTGTGTGTGTGTGTGTGTGTGTGTGTGTGTGTGTGTGTGTGTCTGTGTGAGACCCTGCCATTGGCTTCCGCTACAGTAATCCAATCACACATGCTTATCAGAGACGGTCTCACAGGTGCTGATTTGGATGGATTTAATGTGGACTCTGGAAAGCGCTCACACACACACACACACACACACACACACACACACACACACACACACACACACACACACACACACTCTGGGGGTGTCACTATATGCCGTTATTGAAAATGAAATATTAATATGTGAATAATACACACATTATATTTCTGTGTCAATAATCCAGAGCGTCTTAAATAATGTATATTTCTTTACTTGTGTTATCTTTTGTTCATGTATGGCTACCGACTCTCTCTAAAGTCGCAGTATGAGATCTTTTTTGCAAGATAAAGAAAAGTAAAAGATGAATTTCACTGATAGTAATACACATATATTTTTTTTAATATGTATCGCAATAATTCTAATAATCTTTTGGCCTGCTAGTGAGAATCTGATAATGTGACAGCACTAATACAGATCAACACATAAGACCTATTAATAGAGACGGACACAGAGTCTTCAGGAACATATAAATAGATACACCACACTCTCACACACACACACACACACAGCCATCTGCAGACTTTTCCTCTTCTGTGATGTGTGTTTTCACAAAATGTTCCTGATAGGTATGTGTGTCCAATATAATTCTACACACACACACACACACACACACACACACACACACACACACACACACACACACACACACACACACACACACACACACACACACACACCACACACCACACACACACACACATACACACACACACACACACACACACACACACACACACACACACACACACACACACACACACACACACACACACCTTGCCTCAAAATGTATTTGGCACCCTCACAAAGGTGTGTGTTTTCCTGTCAGGTGTCGGGCTATTTTTAACCACCTCACTATACAAGAAACTGCCAATTTCCTGAAACACAAGCCTTGCTCCGTCCCTCTTTTGAACACGTTTTATAACAACAGGAAGAAGACGGACGTGATGCTGAGAATGAACACTGGGTAATATAACAACTGTGGCTTGTCTTTCTGTTTCCAGGCACCAGCTAAAGAAGTGGGAGCATGGAGGGGGAAATAGGTGTGTGTGTGTGTGTGTGTGTGTGTGTGTGTGTGTGTGTGTGTGTGTGTGTGTGTGTGTGTGTGTGTGTGTGTGTGTGTGTGTGTGTGTGTGTGTGTGTGTGTGTGGCCTAGCATTACTATACTTGTGGGGACCTAAATCTGTTTACATAGTCACGTGTGCGCCTCCCTTATGGGGACAAATTGGAGGTCCCCATGAGGGGAATCATTAATTTCAGGGTGAAGACTTGGTTAGGGTTAGGCATGTGTTGGTTATGGTTAAGGTTAGGATAAGACTCCAGGAAATGCATGTAAGTCAATGTAATGTCCCCTGAAGTGATGTATACATGGTATGTGTGTGTGTGTGGATGTTGCTTCAAAGGGACTGAACAAAAGGTTAAAAAGGGAAGACGTCACAGACTACATGGGAACAAATCTCATTTTTTCATCTTTGCATCAACCTCCGACCCTTTGAATGAGTGATCGCATGGTGTGTGTTTTGGTGTGTGTGTGTGTGTGTGTGTGTGTGTGTGTGTGTGTGTGTGTGTGTGTGTGTGTGTGTGTGTGTGTGTGTGGTGCCTACCATCAGAGTCGATGCTGTTGAGCGCAGTGGGGGGGATGATGGACACTTTGCACTGACCCAGAGGACACTTTCGAGGGTAAATGTCCATACAGGCTGTGTGCACCTGGAAGAAATACAATAGAAACATAAATGCAAGAAGCGATAGAAATGGACAGTTTCATCCCACAGGCCATAAGACTATTACACTTTTGAAAGAACATCCATAAACATTCATCTGTTTGCATCTTGCTAATTATTTATCTAACATATCATATTCCATGTAGACTCTTCTTGCACTATTTCTATTTTATCTGTTGGACTTGTTTTATGTGCTATATAGAGAGGCGAAGTCCCTCCCTTTCCTCCGTGGGACCTTTTTACTGAAAAATGATGTATTGAAGTCAATGACGAGAGAAGGGTTATCTTTCGATCCCGTTTGAATTGTGCCACGAATTACACGTAACACTTTTGTGTGAAACGCTCCATGAACTATCAATGATTAAATGGACACCACAGAAGCTCGGGATAAGGCTGCATTGCTGTATGTGCCAGATATCTACAGACAAACAGAGAGAGGGATTAACTATTCATTATTATTATTTTATGAAGTATTAAAAGAGGTGGAAATCACTCCAAGTCTGGGCACGTTGAGAGCTGTGCATACACACAAGGGGAGTTAGTCGGTTCCGTGAGAGCCAGCATGCGGGACCGGGACTCTGGGATTTGTAGTCTTTCTAGTTGCGTATTTTTCATGGTCTTATATTTCAACAGTTTTACGACAAACTGTGACTTTTTTTACATGGAAATGATTTTTTAAGATTGACAAACATCATATGTGTAATTCGTGGCATAATTCAAACGGGATCCAAAGATAATTTCTCTCTCCATTGACTTCAATACATACTTTTACCGAAATAAGGTCCCATGAGTCGGAAGTAGATGGGCGGGACTTCGCCTCTCTATATGTTCATGTTGCACTGTTGAGTTGATCATTGAAATATCTACACTGTAGCTGCTGTGCACATGATGATAAAGCCTTGAATTGAGAGAGAATGCAAACAATAAATAGTCGAGTCATTACACACCATCCCCCCCCCCCTTTTTAGGGTTTGGTTGTCTCTTTATGTATTTTCTTCGTTGTTCTGTCAAAGCGACTTTGAGTTTTTAGAAAAGCGCTATGTAAGTATTATTATTAAAATAAATATATAATATATTTTATGCACGTATAAATAGATTCTAATCTGACTGTCAGCAGGAAAGCAGAAATTCCCAAAATATAGATTTCTTCCTTTAAAACGTTCGTAGGAAAAGGATAAAAATGCGTACCTCGATTCCTAAGTTTATAAAAAATGAATGAAAATACATGGATCGGATTTCGAGGCGTAGTCGTGGGGGAGGGGGTCTGCAGTTCGGTGGACTAAGGATTGCACCACTGCTTTTTGCAGCGGCTGGGATGAGGATCAGCACCTCCAAATCTGAGGATAATGGTTCTCAGCAGGAAACCGATGGACTGTCCACTCCAAGTAGGGAATGAGTCCTTACTCCAAGTGAAGGAGTTCAAGTATCTCGGGGTCTTGTTCTCGAGTGAGGGAACAATGGAGCGTGAGATGGGCCGGAGAATCGGAGCAGCGGGAGCGGTACTGCAGTCGCTTTACCGCACCGTTGTGACGAAAAGAGAGCTGAGCCAGAAGGCAAAGCTCTCTGTCTACCGGGCCATTTTCGTTCCTACCCTCACCTATGGTCATGAAGGATGGGTCATGACCGAAAGAACGAGATCGCGGATACAAGCGGCCGAGATGGGTTTTCTCCGCAGGGTGGCTGGCGTCTCCCTTAGGGATAAGGTGAGAAGTTCGGTCATCCGGGAGGGACTCGGAGTTGAACCGCTCCTCCTTCGCGTCGAAAGGAGCCAGTTGAGGTGGTTCACCTAGTTAGGATGCCACCTGGGCGCCTCCCTAGGGAGGTGTTCCAGGCACGTCCAGCTGGGAAGAGACCAAGGGGTAGACCTAGGACCAGGTGGAGGGATTATATCTCTTCGCTGGCCTGGGAGCGCCTTGGGATCCCCCAGTCAGAGCGGCTTGATGAGGGGAAAGGAAAGTTAGGGGCTCTCTGCTGGAACTGCTACCCCCGCGACCCGACCACGGATAAGCGGGAGAAGATGGATGGATGGATACAAAATGAAACTCAGTAAGTATGAGAAGCACTTACACTTTCCATACATGTACTCTAAAGTATTTAACGCAGGTCGTTCTGAATAAGACGTGGAAGAGTGAAATGTAAATCGAGCAGATGAAGATGTATCGTCATAAATATAGGACCTTCAAGCCAGATTCAACGCTGAGAGGTTGCTTTTTGCAGTCTTAAATGTCCCGTTTGTGATTAGTAAGATACGTTTTTTGTATGATTTTAATCCTGTAAACATATAATTAGGCAGCCTTGAATGACAGATGTCTCACCATGGCTTTGCACCAGAGGCAGCGCCAGTCCTGCAGCCGCAGCACGCTGCCACACGTCTTATCACACACGGCACACTTGGCACTGACAGGCAGGTTTCCTTCCAACCACTGGTGAGGCATCGCAATCTGTGACACACACACACACACACACACACACACACACACACACACACACACACACACACACACGGCTCAATGAATGGGAAACACTTTGAACAGGGTTAGGGTTAGGCTACTAGGAGCAGTTTGTGTGTTGATACTGGCTCCGAATCTGTTTCTTTTTTTTTTAGAAAACTTTATTTTATATTATTTGGGCAGTACATGATATACACAAGTTACATTAATAATACACATACAACACAATCAATAAATATATAATCTGTTTCCTTTTTCTGAATTTATAGTGTAATCATCATTGGTAAGAAACACAACGATACAAATAATAAAAACAAAAAATTCATTTAAAAAGTTTAAACAAGAGTTATTATTATCTAGCTCTAATTACATTTTTACTATTGTCATGAAAATGGTATAACACATGTAAACTCACCCCATCCTCGTCCTCTATGATATCCTTCCCTATAGAAGCCAGAGTCGTCCATTTGCAGTTGTTAGTGGCTCTGACTGCGCAGCGTTTGTGGGCTTTGAATTTGCACACTGGAAAACACAAACACACACACACACACACACACACACACACGTCAGTCTCACAATGTTGTACAACGTCAACAACAGGTAAAAGCAGCTTCATATTGACATTGTCTTTGAAAAGTTCCCACGTTATTTGCACCTAAAACACAGATTGTCACAGACTTCCTCTTGTTTCTCGACTCACGGTGAATCACCGGTCACTGATGCATGATTGATTGAGAAACAGACAGACCCCTCAGAGTACCGAGAGCTAATGAATCAAGCCTTAATGAGACGTCAGCGTAGTAATTACTGACCTCCCTGAGCCTGTGCAGCACATCTCTGACAGACAGAGGAAAAGCTCCACATCACGACTCTCAATAGATTTATCGGAAACATCTAAACATACAGCACGCAGGACAGATTCATCCAGAGCCAGAATGACAGTAAACAACACATCTGTAGAGACTCTGCTGGTAACTGAGACAACGCACACACATGCATCCATTCTGTAGACACTTTGCTGCATGAAACAGGCCAATCAGCTCAACCTGACTGATAGAGATCATGCAATGTTATTATTTGTTTATTGATTGTTCTGAACCTGTCTGAGGACCACAGATGGAAACTAGCTATAATCTGGCATATTGCATCTCTTCTCTTTGCTGAGATTAATGTTTTTGTATGCATGGTCCTTCTATAAATAAATACAACAAAAAAAAAAAAACACTTGGCATAGCAGGAGAGCAAATTGTGGACAATATTGAACGCGTTGTCTTCCACTCATCAAGTAGAAGCGTTAGGGCTTTAGTGAAATGCTGAAATCAATCAGAAACATTAAGATTAAACGAGATTTTACTATAAAATGTGTTGAAGACGTTCTTAGAAATCCCAAGCTGATGTTTTAAGACAGCAAAAAGAGCTCTTAGCTATCGAGTTAACCTGAGCCAATATTACAGTAAGCAACACATCTCAACGTATCTGCTGATTACATCACATGTTACTTGTTAGACGCTTTTATCCAAAGCGACTCACACACTCAATACTGTGGACAATCCCCACAGGAGCACTTTGGGTTGAAGGGTCTCAGGGACACAACTACATGCTGACTGCAGTGGGACTCGAACCTGCTACCCCCTGATTCGAAGTCCAGCACACTCCACTGAGCCACAGCCACTCACTGATAAATGTGTCTTGCATAATGCACATACATGCATACATTCTGTAGTATATACTTGCCAACCTTGAGACCTCAGAAATCGGGAGCATTTCAAAACCACCGCGGGGGGGGGGACTAGTGGATCGCCGGAGCTGTATTAGCTTAACATTAACATGCTTATTGTAGTTGTTAGTGCGCTGTCTTGCGGCCTGTAGCAAGGAAAGGAGTGAGCAGAGGGTAGAGTTGTCGATTCTTGTTCAGTTTACTGTGACTCTCTTCCTCACCCTCTCATGCCCCTTTCACACCAGCGCTTTTTCAGCTCCGGCTCGGAGCTGGAGCCTGAAAAGCGCCGGTTTTTCCTGTTCACACCGCAGCGGCGCCGGCTCTTAGCTCCGGAATCGGGTTCACTTCCAGCTCCAAAAAATTGTCGGTCTAGAGCAGTGTTTCTCAAACTCTTTCATACCAAGGACCACTTAACCAATAAAAAAACACTCGCGGACCACCTAACCCCACAAATATCCAAAATCACATCGTTTTTCTTGAACAGATTACAAATCGCCTGAAAATGGTACAAACAAGTGGCAACATGTGTGATGAAGGTGTTGCGCTGGGCTATATCATACAATCGAAAACTGGTTTTATGAATAAAGTGAAACTTAAGCTCGCTCCATTGCGGAGATATTCCCGCGAGAGTGCGTAAAACTTTAATTTATTAATTTATTTAAAATGTGAAATTGTACCAATATACTCACGGACCACTAGGGGGCGCTCACGGACCACCAGTGGTCCACGGACCACACTTTGAGAAGCACTGGTCTAGAGGCAAGAGCTTCGGAGCTAAGAGGTGGCGTCGCTTACGTCTCTCTTACGTCGAGGCGTGCAGGAAACTAAACCCACCTCCCCTGAACATGGGTCGACTGTCATGCCTGCCTACAAGCAGTAGTGCTTATAAACACACTTTATAAAGTCAGGCAACACTAACCAGGCTTCGTGTGATTCTGTTTATTTGTACCTTACTTTGACCATCCGTTCACTGTCATTGATCATTGTGGAGAGAGGCAGACGTTTTGTTTTGTATTATAGCAGCTATCGGATGGAATCAATACATGGGCTGCACAGGTTGTCGTGTCCGACTATCACAAGTAGAATCATAATAAAAATACGCCGGTAAAATGTGCCTGTAGAAAACGGTTTATGCCACAATAGGATAGCAATAGCAAGTAGTCAGTTTAGCTTCGGTTGCTATGCTAACATCACCCATTTTATACCAGAGAAACTTTCATAACAGCGTTGTGATACCAAACAGCGTCAATTCAGACTGACACACATTCACTTAGGCTAAGGGGAACTGGGGATATGTATCAGCTGCTTGTGTGAGTCGGACAGTGAATACTTTAGAGCTGCAGTGTGAGCTAACCGGGAGCTAACGGAGGAGAATAAACTCTCGTGGAAGAGCAGCCAACACTGCAGCGGTCGGTAAATGCTGCAGAAACACATTAATAAACTATGAACCACGGCACTCTGGAGAAAAGTATAAGGTTGGAGAAGTCGTTATTCAATTTATTCTGGCTTTGTGTGATTAAAAGCAACACGATCATCGACCCGACGCAGTTCCCCGTTGTTGTTGTTGTTGTTGTTGTTGTTGTTGTTGTGAGCGCCGTAATGCCGTTGGGGAGCAAATCAGCGATGTAAACGGTGACGTCATGACGCAGCAGCGGCAGCACCAGTCGGGCTCTGGGCGGTGTGAACAGAGCGGGAGCAGAAAAGGGAAACCGGAGCTGAACCAGAAAAGCTCTAGCTCGGAGCTAGAAAGGGAAAAGCGCTGGTGTGAAAGCCGCAACAGACTGTCAGTTGCGCGCTACTAAGAGACGCGCTACCATGGAAACCAAACAATGGTGGAGCTGTATTAAAGTCCGAGTGGAAACAGTCCTGACTGAGTAAATCTGATTTAGTCAGAAATCGGGAGAAATGTGACCCCGGGAGGAAACCGGGAGAGGGCAATGGAATCGGGAGTCTCCCGCGAACATCGGGAGGGTTGGCAACTTTGCTGTATGCAAAGTTCCGAACCAGCATATCCTCAGTAGCTTCCATACATTAGGAAAGCGGGATAGCAAATCGTGGACAACTTTGAACGCGTTTTCTTCCACTCATCAAGTAGAAGCATTAGGGCTTTAGTGAAATGCTGAAATCCATCAGAAACATTAAGACCACACCGGATTTTACTATGAAATGTGTTGAAGAAGTTCTTAGAAATCCCAAGCTTATGTTTTAAGACACCAAAAACCATCTTAGCTATCGAGTTAGCCATCCAAATTCTAATTTGAAATAGCATCCACCACTTCTTTCAACAACAGTGAAGGGAAATACAGTTTGCTTTCTTGCACTACCATTGATACTCCTTTATCTGTCAGTTATATTTAAGGCAGCAGTTACTGCTTTAGCTTAGCTTAGCATAAAGGTAGGGGGAAACAGCTAGCATGGCTCTGTCCAAAAGGTAAACACAATCAGTCTACTTATTCCTCTAAAGGTTGCTTACACGTTGCATTTGGTTTGTTCAATTCTTACACAAATCAAAGTAGAGTTGTGGTTTGCATGTTGTTTTTTCTTAGCTGTTTGCAGTGACTTCCTGGGGCACAA